TATTAAATTATATATTTTATATTCTCTTAACTATCCAAGAAACGGATATAATCAGTAATTAATTTTTTATTACCAAGTCATTTGCATATTTTACTAAAATATTTTCCATTTTAACTTATTTTATTCAAAAAATATCTTTGAATAATTATCCAATAATTTAATTCTGTTAATATCTTCTATTAAAAGCCTAAATATCTTATTAAAATATTCTTTGACTGTATATTATAATATTTTATTATAAATTATTGTACTTATTTTGGTATAAAATTATTTTCTCCCAACTTTTCTCTTTTCTATTAAAATACAATCTTCTTTTCAGCACCCAGTAATACAGTAATACAATAATATTATCAATTTCATTATTAACTAATTCTTTTATTGCAGAAAAAATTCTTCAATTTATTTAAATTATTTCAAGCAATATTTTACATTATCTGAATGTACTAAAACATCACTTTTAATAAATGATAGTAGCTGCTTTAAGTACTCACTTTTCTGGCAAAATACAAATACAATTAATTCCGTTTCTCTTGGGCACGCTTTAATAATGGCGAAAAGGCACTAGAAGAAGCGACCAATATGGCAACATCAACTGCTTTTAATTAGACTTGCTGAACATAATCAACTGGCAAGGAGTTGAGGCTTCATAAGTTTCGCAAGTTGCGCTGCGCGAACTTCAGGCCCAGCTTCCATGGGCGCCATGGCTCTGCCCTAAGGCTGCCCAGGATGTTGTAGCCATAACGAACTGCATGTTGTTGCTGCTGTTGTTGTTATTGTTGTTATTGTTGCTGCTGTTGTTGTTGTTGCATGTTGTGCATTTAAAGTTTTTGTAGCGTGCAATGCAGGAAATCATTTTAACAATTTTCTACCTCAGCCTCAGCCTCATTTTCAGCGCCAGCTGCCCAGCCCAGCTGCTGCTACTCCTGCTCCTGCTACTCCTGCTGCTGCTTTCTATACAAGTTCAGTGCACCCGCAAACAGACACGCGATGAAAAGGCGCTGCCGACGCGAACGTTGCTTTGTTATTTGTGTGCTTACTTGTTTGGCGTTGTGTATGTATGTGTGTGTGTGTGTGTGTGGGTGTCTGTCTGCGTTTTTCGGACTGCCTGCAGTCCTTTTTATTTGACGCAGCAGCAGGAGCAGCAGCAACGCAGCCTTTCTTCCTTTCGGTAATTATGAATGGCCAACGGGCAGAAAAGGTATAAAAGTCATTGGCATGCAAGAGCAACCGCCCCATCGCCCCACTGCCCCAACCCCAACTTCACTTTGTTCAATTAAAAGTTTTATGCAAGCCAGTTATCTCTACTTATTTAATGCAGAGCCCGCGGCACGGTTAATCAACCCAGCTTAAAGGCCAACTGCACCTCAATCGCAGATCTCTGCCCACTCACTTGACACTACAATTGCCCAGCCAGACTGCCAGACAGCCAGACAGCCTGATGGCTGGCCTCGGCCTAGACACGTGTCGCCATTTAAATTCAACGCCTCGCAAACAATGCGCCGAAATGAAAACAAATAAAGCACTTAAAATGCTGCAGCAACACGGAAGAACACTGCGATTTAGCAATACAAGGTATGAAAATAAAACAAGTAAGATCGTTGCAGTCGGGCGTTACCGACTGCGGAAGACTCATTCACATCCCATCAACAATTTAGTAGTTAAGTTTCGCTTTAATCCTGTAAAATATACAGGTTTTTCCGATTTGCCACGCCCCTACTGGGTGGAGATATATCCGCCATAGCTCGTGATCTTGGGTGGTCAACGCGGACCTACATACCAAATTTCAGCTTTCTAGCTCTTTAACTAACATGATTTCTGGTATATTGGAAAATGCATTTTCCGATTTGCCACGCCCCTAGTGGGCGGATCGGGAAAATTTTAACACTTTATAAATCGGAGATATACACGAGTATGTGTTCCAAATGTCAAGTCTCTAGCTTCAATAGCGCCGAAATAGATTGCGTTCATACGGACAGACGGACGGACCGACAGACGGACGGACGGACGGACGGACAGACGGACGAACAGCAATACGGACATTGCACAAAACCAATATACTGATTCACTTTCGTGAATGAGTATAATTACGGCCTGCAGCTGGGGCCAAGAGTCATGTGTCCTTGCGGCTCTGATTACACCTGAGCCGTAGACCGAGCTCGAGCCCGAGTCGGAGCCAGATGCACCAAACATTCCCCCTAACTAATTGTAATGTAAAGTGCTTAGACAATTTGGCAGCAGTAGCATGTAAGTGCTCAAGCCTGGCTCCCTTACTCTCCCTCTTACATTCTCGCTCCCTCTCTCCCTCCTGCTTGCAGACAAAATTGCCCAATTAAGTAGGTGGCTTGAAAGTTGTTGGGGCTTCTATTTTATTGCCCGTTTGTGTTCGGGCTGATTTGTCTACTTATAGCTGGCCACTTTTGCAATTCAGTTAGCAGCACACAAAATTCACTCGACTAACAAGCCCTGTCAAGAATAATCTGCAACTGCAGTTGGGGCCCCATCTGGGCCAATTCTGGGTGGTGCGAGTGGGCTCAGATGGACTCTAGCTGCTGCCCCCACACACAGTTTCTTGTAACATATATCAGGCAATAGCAATGCCAACTTTCACTCAATAATGCCTTAAGCAGGCCAGCTGCCATCCATCTCTCATCCGAGCGCTGACAAATAGCCGTGCAGCGAGCAGCAAACACTGCTAAGTATTGCCGCTTTGTGTTTGCCGTCGAAACGCTTTGATATACCGAATTTTTATCTGTGCTCTGAATGGACCGTGGAGAGACAGACTATTCCAACTAACTTTGATTTATGACAATTTAGTTCATTTGATTATTGCTGCAGAGAGAGAGAGAGAGAGAGAGAGAGAGAGAGCCGAGATGTGAGAGAACTGAGCTCAGGGCAGTCAATGGGCAGCACATTTTGTGCTGTGTAAAACATTTTCATTTTCCATTCAAATTCAATGCTAATCTACTTGCCGGACAAGCCGAATTTTGGGGCGCGCCCGACTTGGCCGGGCATCATTTATCATGGCGCCCGGGCCCAGGCGCCGGGGCTCGTTTCGCAGGCAGTTGGGCGCGGCGGGTATTTGTAGTAGGCCAAGCGCATAATCAACACATAGGGTTCATCATTTTTCTCTGCGATACATTTAGATATAGTTCGTTTTATATATATATAATAGATGGATATAAAAATACGTTTTTTTTTGTGTTACTCGCTTGTTATTTTTTTTTTTTTTTTTGGGTTGTCTGACAGCACGTGCAGCACATTAGGCTGTGGCAATGCCTTTCCATTTTACAGTCCGAGAGCTGCATGTGAAAACAAAGAGCCGAACGAGTGGAAGGGGGGCGAACGAGTGGACAAAGTTTAGCTAACTGGCCAGCCGTGCGTATACGTAACCAGGCTGACCCATAAAACAAACATATTTATACGTATGTATGTGTGTATGCATGCAGATTTCGCGCTGTCCTAAATGAGCAGCTGAGTGAAATTTTAGTCGAGTCGTGAGCGCATTAGTTATGCGCAACTTACACGCCATAATAAAATAATATTACATTTCACAAAGCCGGCTCTCTGAAAAGTGTAAGAGAGGGAGAGAGGGGGACACAGAGTGAATGAGCGAGCGAGCGAGAGCTATACTTTATACAAATTTGTCCCCATTTCACAGAAAATCCTGGCCGGGCTGCGCCTCATTAAGTATACTGCGAAAAACCGCCAAGTCTTTGAGGCAAAGCACTCGCCTGCTGTCGCTCATTTCAGTCTCTGTGTGTGTGTGTGTGTTTTTTTTTTTTTGTCTGCGGTTTTAATTTACTCTTGCTTCATAGGACTCTGGCTCTGTTGTTGCCACTTCTCACTTCCCACATCTCTCGCCACGTCGCAATGTCGCCGACGGCAGCAGGTTAAGCTTCTACTTGAACTTCTAAGTGTTGGTGTTACACGAGCTGAGGTGTTGTTTGGCAACTGCCTTTGACGTCTGTGTGTGTGTGTGTGAGTGTGTGTGCGCGCTGACTCCCTGAGTGCATGTGTCTCCCACAGCTGTGTATGCATGTGTGTGTGTGTGTTATTGTGGCATGTTTGTGTGTTTGTCTAGTGGCTGGGCATGTCCGTCTAAGCTTTAGATTCTTTCACTGAGGCTCTCAGAAATCGTCATGTTATTTAGAGCTTTCAGTTATTAGGTTTGCTGCAAACCGGAAGCCTTTCCACATCTCTCCACATGGAATGGAATATGAGCGCCACATAGGCGTGTCAAATGACGTGAGGCTCTTTAAAGGCTCGAACCTCGCGGTGTGCGCGTCTAGTCTGCTCCACGTTGATGAGCAGAAAGCAATTAGGAATGAAAAAAATGGCATTAAAAGACAACCAGAAAATTGTCTGAAAATAAAGTAGGGAAAAGCGCAAACATTTCTCTCAGAGTTAATGAACAAATAAAGACGAAGATGAATAATTGATACAGGATAGTAACAGAACTTATGAAAACTCATTCATCATGGCCAGCAACAACAGCATTTATATTTAATTGTGTAAGCAATAAACAACAGAAAAAAGCAAAAGGAAAACAGAGATCCGATTCTCCCTCTCTCTTATAAGCGAATGCCTAGCAGCTCCTCCATGACAATGTGCGGCGAGCGCAGGGGCTGCTCATAGTCGGGCCGCTTGAGATAATCCGCAAAGCTGATCTCGCTGCAGCGGCCAGTGAGCACATCGTCCATGAGGTTGCTGGAGCGCAGGAAGGGCAGTCGTCCCGTCTGGCTGACGGCGAAGCGTTCCATGCACATGACCAGCGGCAGCGCCAGGCCCATCTGGTTACGCAGCATTTGCATGTCCTGCATATACTTATACTCGTCGTAATAGATGACAGGGTCGGGCAATATCTGCGGCAAGGCCAATGCGGTGAGGCAATCCGGCTCACTGGACGGCAGACCATCCTTGGAAGCGCTCACCTGGTTTACTTCCATTTCCAAGAGAATTACTTTAAGACAAGATTTTATGTTGAATATTATTGTTGTGTATCAATTTATTTTGTAGTTGATAGACTATTGAAATGTTGTATGAGTAGGATCTGAAGTTGACGGAAAAAGCAATTGGCTGCCATGTGCCTGTTGTTTAGAAAATATATTTATACAAAAAAAAAAAAAAAAAA